CAAAATATTTGAGCTAAATCTTTTTATTGCAAATAATATTTTGTAAGAATAAATGATTATGCTTTAAAATCAATATATATGGAAGAAGATATACATGGCATAACCTGCTAAGTTGATGGGGATTGTTCCACAATCTCTTGGAGCTTGCTTAATTTGATTTTCTGATGTTTTAATTTCTATTTTAATTCAGGTGATCAATGCGTAATTGTCTTGAAAACTGAACAAATATTTTCACGTAGATATGAAAACAGAAATCTTCTCAGTTAACAACATTAACAATTTATTCTTTTCTATAATTTGACCTCTATTGTCAAGCCCCAAATTGGCAATAATAATTGCATCTTCAAATTTATGAAACTGAATACAAGTGATAAATTATTGAAAGTTTTACTGTGATGATGTTTTATGATTCATCTTTTTATTTGATACAAAAAGAGGCAATTTATTTATTATTGAAAGAGATATTTCCATAATTGTACTTGTACGTGTCAACTGAAATTGCCGGCTCTCTGACATGGAATCAAATAAAAAGAATTAAAGTAGCTTGCCTTGGATTACAAGTTTTGATACTTGTCTCATCCAGTGATATTTTTTTACTTGGGACTGTGTCCTCTACATATTAAAGTCTTATTTGTTCTAAAAATATTTGCTTCATTAAAGTATAAATCAGAAAATTTACATTAGAGAAAAAAAGAATTTCAGATTCAAACCTTATATCAATGTTCAAACTAAGCATTTTTAGAGGGTCTACCGCGCCTGACCTTTGATCCCTTTAAATATGCCGTCTTTGCTCTTTTTGTAAAAATAAGCCATCACCCTTAAAAACACTGCCATTCTATTTTATTTTTTCAAAAAAATGGTGTTTTCTTAGTATCTGATTTTAATGAAAAGTCCATTTTTGATTTATCTAGTTATTGTTAATTATTTAATTCATAAATTTCATTACTTCATTTTAGTAAGATTTTTCTTATATTGTCTAGTTATGTACTTAAAATTTGCTTGATATTTGGCCCTAGAGATATTCATGTCTTTTATGTGGGGTATATAAGAATTTGGGGCATATTGATGGAGGGAGTATATAAATGAGTTTTTTTAGATATTTAAAATTTTACCATTATTCTTTTGAATAAATACTTTTTATTGAAAAATGCGCATTTAAATGTTTATTTTATCATAACTTTCAGTTTAAAATATAAAAAAAAAGCTTTCAAGTTGTTTATCAATTGATCTTTTTTTTTTGTTTACTTTTTTTTGAAGAAAATTTATATAAGAAGATTGCTTTTTAGATTGCCAAAAATCCGTTTTTGCAAAATAACGATTAAAGAATGATTTTAGCATGTTTTGATATTGGAATGACTCGGTCCTTGTAGATTTGATTTTAAAAAGTGGGTAATTTTATTATCAGTTATTTTATAAGGGACAGTTACTGTAATTATTTTCATGAAGGTACTAATATGAAAAACTACCCTTATTGATACATACGGATCAAAAAACAAATAGTCTATATATTATTTCCGTGGTGTTAGTCTTTTGCTTATTTGGCTGTTTTACTGTTAGTAAAAAAGAATTATTTTAGTTGATATTTCAATCTAGGTCGCTTTTATGCTGTTCAATGTAGCCTCAAGTTAAATGACATATCACCAGAAAATACTGCCTTTTTCTTGGACCTGATGGATTGGTTAGAAAAGGTTTATATTCTGTTATTTTATTCTTCTCATGAAATGGTAACATGTCTAGTGATCTGACCAATGATTTTATAATTATGAAAAGTTCAGTTTCTGAGCACGTAATCAATATGTAGGCCAGCTCTATGCATAGACTCATAACATCATTAGGATTTTTGACAGGCGATAAATTTAATAAATCACTCAAATGAGCGTTGATTGACATGTTTTTGTTCCCAAATCTATCCTTTAATAAATCTAGGGCTTTATCGTAATTCTCATCCGAAATTGCAAATCCGTTAATGCATGCAAGGGCATTTCCACATAAATACGATTTCAAAGAATTAAATTTATAAACTTTGCTTATGCATTATTATGAATACAACTTTCAAATAAATTGTAAAAATCTAACCGTCCTGCATAACTTCCCGCATATTTATTTATATTTAATTTAGGTAGATGCATTCGGAATTATTTTAATCATTTGTTTCAGAGGTACTTGAAACTGTATCAGCTGGAATAGAATTCATTTTCTTTATTTTTAAAGAAAATTCTGTTTTCCAAAAAATTTTATCAACTTCAGACAAAATATTCAGATGAAGTATAATTGTATATTCAGATGAAGATCTACAATTTCATCATTCATAAAACTCAATTTGCTTTCTTTTTCATTCAATTGTGCTAAAAAAGCTTCAAATTGTTCCAGTAATTCTGTTTCGTTATTAATCGATTCTTCAATTTTGTCAATGTTGTTCGTACAGCGGTAAGCTTCCTTTTTAATTTTGAAATATTTTCTGCCACATTTATTTCTATCCAGGTAATTCAGTTTCAATGTAAATAACAAAATTCTTACCTGGATATTTAATTCGCCGATAATGTCAAATCAATCAAATCAGTTTAAATTCAATTCAGTTTCCTTTGGCCGATTGAACCAAAAAATGGTACATGTGTTCAAGGAAAATCAGCATACAATGAAAAATATTTAAAAAATTATGCTCTTTAAGAGTGAAAGGCGATAATTTTTCGTTATATATTTTTTAATGAGCTCTCTAGTACGGTTTATATTTTATCTCTGTACAGTTGATTGCACACAATAATATTAATTTTCCTTTTTAACACTTTGCAATTTTATGATCTTTTTGAAAAGTACTTAATTCTTACAATTCTTAAAATTTTGGTATAATTTTCCTGACCGATTCTTGTTATATAAATGTTTAACAAAAAGTACAAATGTTTTTTATTTTTTATTTTAGGAAAAATACTTTAACTCTATGCCAAAGCTTATTAAATTTAAATAGTTTCATAAGAAATTATTAATTTTAAAATTTTCTGGTTACTGTGGGGACGTTTACTGTATAAATTTATTTTATGTAGTATTATTTATTGAAATACACCAGGGATGCAAAACCTATTGCTCACAGGTCTCAAAGCGCTTTAACAGCACCAGAATTGGTTTAAACATTAATTAAAACATGAAAGAGAAAAAAAATTCAGCTATGTTCTGATATAATAAGTTATTAACTAATTCCCCCATACTCAGATTATTAAACAGTAATCAATTATAATCGCTGTCATCTGATACTATGTTAGTAACAAATTTCGTTCCTTGATAAAATTTAACAACTGGGGTAAAGGAAAATTTCTAATTTCCTTTTGTATTTATTATCAGTCTAGATTTATTTACTTTAAATAGTTTTTCACTTATTAATTATAATTTTCTTTAATTGCGTTTCAGCAAAAATAATTGGCTATACATTATTTTATTTCATAATGTGTTCATATTGAATTCAAATGCACTCTTCATTTTTACAATTAATCATATTAATATTAGTCCTCAACACAGCACTATCTCGTTTTTGTTGCTTACCATTTAAAACTAGCTATGCATCTTTGCATTAGAAGAAGAAAATATTTTTGTCAACTTAATGTAGAGATCTGTGCTTATGAAGTTACCCAGGTTAGAATCTCAGCGGTGATTGATTGAAATGAATTCTGCTCCCAGCTCACATTGTCCACAGAGCTAATGTATAATATCCTCAGTTAGAATTCCTATGCCGTCCGGATAACTGTGGGAAGTTTTCTTCTCCATGTAACACAAATGAGAGTTATTTTCATCAAGAAGTAGTCCTCCTAGTTTTTATAGCCGTCGTTGAACAGCCGACCCCATTTTTGGGTTTATGACTACTAATGTTCAACTCCGTAGCCTTGTAATTTTGAATCCAGAAGACAAGGATAAAATCATGGATCGAGTAGTTGGTGAAATTTGCCTTCGTGGAGGACTTTTGATGGAATTAACCCGCACTTGCGTTCCATGCAGAGGAAGACCACGAAACTCTCACATTGTTAGCCTGACGGCAAGGGGACTCTAAACCATGATCCATGTACTACTGAGGATCAGCACTGTGGTCGGTGCAAGCCGGATGCGATATTCGTATCGACCAGCCATCTGCTGGGATTGAATCCTGGTTCACCTCATTGGAAAGCGAACGCTCTACCCCCTGAGCCATCGCGGCTAACGAAGCCCGGTTTGTCCCAATGATCTGAAAGGCCGGGATAGCCTGGTCGGTAGGGCGCAGGGCCCATATCCAAGAGGTCGTGGGTTCGATCCTCGCCGGCCGAAGACTCCCCGTGTAGTAAATGGTGACTGATGCATGTTAAATCTGTCGAGTCTCAAAGTCCTCCATGTTCACACAACAAATCAACACCTCTGGGGGTACTGATCCAGGAGTTTCCTTGTCTTCTGGATTGGTTCAAAATTACAAGGCTACGGAGTTGAACGTTAGTAGTCGTAAACCCATGAAATTGGGTTGGCTGTTCAACGACGGTTATAAAATATAAAATAAAATAAATAAATAAAATGCTTGATCTGAGGGCCGGAATAGCCTGGTTGATAGGACACTGGGCCCTTGTCCAAGAGCGCGTGGTTTCGATCCCTACCAGCCAGAGACTCCCCGTGTAGTAAGTGGTGACTGATGCACGTTAAAGCTGTCGAGTAACCAAGTCCCCCATTTCCTCTGGTGGGTACTGATCCAGGATTTTCCTTGTCTTCTGGATTGGTTCAAAATTACAAAGCTACGGAGTTGAGCATTTGTAGGCGTAAGCCAAAAAACTGGGTCGGCTGTTCGACGACGGTTATAAAATAAAATACTTGATCTGAGAGTTCCCTTGACTTCAGAGTTGGGTTAAAAATTACAAGGCTACGGAGTTGAACAATGATAGTCGTAAGCCCAGAATTAAGTTCAATGCCAGTTATTATATAAAAATTTCAAATTCTTTTTTTTAAAAATTGAATATAAACTTCTAGTTAGAAAAAAAGTACAATAAAAAACACAGAGATTCAATTGTCACAAACACATTACAGCCTTTATTACAAGAATTTGCAGATAATTATTATTATACAAACCAACGAAGTTAGTCTATCATCTGCATACAAATGTATGGAATGCCTTAACGCAAATTAACTTTGCATAACACAGATCAATTCACAAATTTTCCCAGATCAATAGATCAGCGTCATTCGAAAATAAAACAATTATGTTAAAATACTTTATAATTGAAAATAGACAACATACATGTTAAAATCAAATAATTGAAGGGTTTATCCCCCTTTTTATCACAACAAACATAAAAAACATATACTTGATCAGGAATACAACTTAAAATGTTATAAAACATGATTGGCATTGGGGGAATAATAATAATATTTTTTACATGAATATAGAGTCAAACTTCATTATATTGAACTTTACAGTAAACTTTAATTTTGACATTATTACTTCCGGACAATTTCAAATAAACGATTACTTTGAGAAATAATTTTGAGTTAATTGAAATTTTTATGAAAGAAACCGATCTTAATTTTTGTATGGATAACGTTTTCTGAAGCAGGGAATTAAATGGATAGCATATGCTTAGGCTCCTGTTTGTGCTGAAAACACTGTATATGAGCTATTATTTAATTTTCTATTAAAGCTTTCATAAACACCCAATAAACTAGAACTGTTAAAACAGATTTTACATAGAAAAATTGTTTTAAGATGTGTGTCATTGATAGTTTAAAAACTTTAAGGATATAATTTTTTGGTTTAAAAGAACAGCATAAAATGAATGGATAATAGTGGAATGTTTTTAAACTAAAGAATTGATATTTTTCAAACTTTACACATCGTTTCAAAATTGTTTTCTTAATACTAACAAAAACAATGACTCAGTAAATATTAATTTGTTTTCATGAATATATTCTAGCACAGTATCTTAAAAATTTTGATGCATATATTTTTAAGATTGGGTGGAATTAGCTTTCAGTCCAAAACTACAATGCTAGACAGTAAACAATACTCACAATAGGAATATACAATATTCATACTGTACAATATATACAGATCAATTCATTTCAGTGCTATTAAAATCATATAACTCTATAGAGATATTTCCTAGACAAGGGTTTCAAACAAGTGCAATTAAAAAAAAGAACAATATTTACACAAGTGATTACTACAATGATAATGAGGAATTAAGAAGAAATAATACCAGTTTTCAATGAAAATATGAAAAACACTGAAACAGCACTCAATGATTGACAATAAAATTTAACCTCAAAGATAAAAAAGCAGAATACATAGCTAAAATTTATGTTAAATAATTAAAAATAAAATTGAGTTAATAAATTAACTCTTTTTAACTGGGATAAATTTAATTTTATCCTAAACAAAGCAAAAGAGTTAAAAAATCCTTCACTTGAATATATGGGTTTAAAAACAAATGGAAATTAAGTCCAAGAATTACAATGATGACCATACATGATAACAGTGATGACCATTAAAAAAGGAATTTTCATTAGATTTAAATGTTTAAAATCAAATGTTTAAAATGTTTAAAATCATTAAAATTCAATCAATACATTCATAAAAATATTACTTATACATTTTTACAGTATATCACATAAACATTTTTACAGTATAAATTGATGCTTTCGAAACGGGAATATTTTGATAACCGTTTTCATGAAATTTTTTTCATTTCTGTTAAAGGATAATTTAGAACAGTCAATTTGTTCAGAGTCTGTTAATTCAGAATGAATTTTATTATTAAGTTTAGAGAATATGTCTGTAATAGTTTCAGTCAAGTCTCCTGAAAAGTTTGAATCTTTAAGCATGTCTTGTTTTTCTTTAAAAAAAATTATCCATCTATCGGCTTTTGCAATTTTCGTTTTGTGTTGAGGAATTTTCTTATCTATTTCGTCAAAAAATCTTCTTAAATTCAATTGGTTTAGGATCTTAGAATGTTCTTTAATTATTTCCTAGAAAAGAAATTAAAGAATTCATTAGAAATTTTTTTAATAATTTAATAAACTATTTTTTTCGCTTTTAATAAACTAATTTTAAATAATTTTTTCTAAGGAATTAATAAAAAAAATTAATTAAAACTAGTTTATTAAAAGTAAAGAACAAGAAAAATAATAATCATAATAAAATCAAATAACTAAAACAAAAACAGAAAAATAATCAAAATTACATCGCTGAATTATTCTACTACCATCCAAATCTTCCTCTTACTTACTCCAAAAAAAAGCAACTCGATATAGAATCAGAAAATACAAAATCTAATGTTATATAACGTTAAAACTAATGCAAACTAATATTACGGCGAACGCTAGATAATATTAGTTTGCATAGAATCTAATATATATCTATGGTTCATAGTATATATATATATATATATATANTATACATATATATATATATGTGTGTGTGTGTGTGTCTGTCTGTTTGTTCTTTATAGACTCCTGAACCATCCAGGTTTAACAATTTCTTTTAATAATGGGTAATATAATGAAGTATAGAGCTTTGCCTTTAGAAATTATCAAATTTAATTGTTCTAATGCTAAGCCTAATATTATGATATTTCAAAATATCTTATTGAGTATATAGTGCACCTTGGGACACTAGGTATCCATAATTAATCTTTATTAAAAATAGATTTTTAAGAAAAAGATATTTTGTGTGCAAAGTATTTTTTTAATTAATACAATCTGTGTTTATTAATAGTTATTATTTCTTATTTTAGGAGCTCATTAGACTTAGCTAATCACAAGAATTTGAAGCAAAAAGTATAAAAATAATGCAGCAATTTAAGCTAACAATGTTTAAAATAAGCTGCAAATTTTATCAGGGGAAATAACTTGTAAGAAAGCTGCTGAGTTCTACAATATTAGTAAGACTACCATGAACCAAAATTTTATTCCCCCCCCCCAAAAAAAAAGAGAGAGAGAGAGCAGCCAAATTCTAACTTTAAATATATTTTAAATATACAGAGTCGCAAAATATTCACTGATGAGGAAGAAACAAATTTGGTACACTATAAGTTACAATCATCATTAGAGCCCGGAAGTTTAGGAGAAATGCTATAAATGCCCTTTTCTCCCTTTTTTAAATGTTTTCTTCTGAAAATGCCTTTTTCTTTCCTTTTGTTCATAAATGCCTATTTCTGTCTAATTTAAAATTTTTCTGCAAAGCTTTTTGTGCTTTTGACCGAGCATAAACGCAAAATGAAGAAATTTTGAAATACAAAAATGGTTGACTGTCATCCGACGTATTGTAATGCATTTATAGAGATTAGGACTTTATTCTTTTCGGGACAACTCCCTGCCGCTGAGGCAGTGATCACCCCTCGTACAGTACAATGGCTATACATCTGAGCTGATAGGGTACTCGTGCTTGAGTGAGCAAGGCAGGTGAAAGACATTTTTCTATCCATGAGATTGACAGTGTTGATTGAATAGAGAATAGAATACAGAAATGAAGCTTTGCCTTTTTCAAAGATGGCCACAAGATAGGAGATTGTCACGTGCTTGCATGGCACCTTGCAATTCATTTTTTTTTTCGCCCAAAGGATAGTTTGGAAGACAAAGAGCTTGATGAGAACTCGTTCGCTCGGCAACTAGCGGGAGTGCGTGGGGAATGTAGGGAAAAAGAATATTTCCTTTCCGTCTCTTCGTGGCGTCACCTTCGCCCGATGCGCTTTGCAAGGAGAGAGAGAAAAGGAGAGAAAAGATTGGAGTTATTTTTACTAACAGTCAATAGGAGTTATTTTTACTTACAACCAATAGAATTTATTCTTACTTACGGCCCATATGGCCCCATATTACCTACACCATCGAATAACTCGTATGCTCTCTTATCTACAAAACGAATTCACCAAGCTGGTTGAGCACATTGTAGCCGGAGCACGAAATAGTTTTCTAGTACTAGTTATTTTAAAAATGCCTAAAGTAAAAGCCTGCACAAGCAAAAAACTGGGCAGTTTTGTGAAACAGTTTGGGTCGAATGTGTTTTCTGCTGATGGGAGCATTCTGTTTTGTAAGGCAAGCGAGAAGTCAGTAAATTTTGAGAAGAAGTATTTTATATCTCAGCACTTGGAGACATCTAAGCATAAAACAGCAATAGATAAAAAAGATGGGAAAACACCAACTCTGATTCCCACCTGTTTTCAATTATCTTCTCGCAGATAGGAATTTGCAATGGATTTATGCAGATCATTTGTAGATGCCGGCACTCCGACTCGACTCCACATACGACGTTTTTTGCAAAAATATACGAATTAAAGTGTGCCCTGTGAATCAACTTTAAGGAAAACTTATGTAGATGACTGTTACACCGAAGTTCTTAAAACTATTCAAAATGAAATCGGAACGAAAACCATATGGCTATCTATAGATTAAACGACAGATGTAACTGGACGATATGTTGCGAATGTTATTGTTGGTGTTATGGACCCATTTGAAAAACATAAAATCTTTTTGTTGACATCTGAACAGTTGCAAAAGACTAACAGTACTACAATTGCACAGTTGTTCACTAATGCACTGGCTTTACTTTGGCCAAATGGTACTGAGCATGAAAGAGTGCTATTATTTCTTACAGATGCAGCCTCCTACATGAAAAAAGCTGGAAATGCCTTAAAAGTTTTATTTCCTAATATGATCCATCTAACGTGCCTTGCTCATGCATTGCACAGGATAGCAGAGGAAGTAAGAGGTCTC